AGGCTAAAGATAATGGAAGTATTATTAATAAAAAAAAAAGCCAACATTCCAAAATATCAACTATGAACACGGTCACGCTGTGCTGACCGTGTTTGGAAAATAAAATATTTCTATAACTCTAGATATATACTCTAGATATATACACAAAACAATCTATACATTCAGTTAAATGTAAAAATAATATTCATCCTTGATCATAGCTAAAATGATTTACGCTCAGAAAAGAAAAAATTCTAACAGACGAAAAATTAAATAAATACAAAACTTAACCTTGTCAGTCATTTTTAATTAAATTTACATATAAATGGGTATAGTTGGTAATTTTTTTTATATAAAAATGTATGTCACAAATTATAAAATGGACAAAGTCCGATAATTATTTTAAGACAATTTTTATGTTTATACATTCTTTTTATAGATACAAATATTTAAGTAAATGCTCTGTTTATAATAAACAGTATTAACGACCTTCAGGCTAATAAATGTCGTTAATACTATTTATTATAAACAGAGAATTCACTTAAATATTTGTATCTATAAAAAGAATGTATAAACATAAAAATGTATTTTTATACTTTCATAGTGTTTTGTTTTTGTTTGGGGTTTCACTGTTTGCCTATACCTGGGACCCTAACAGGTTCTACCATCTCAAGTCAGGCTGGACCTGGGAACAACAGCCATTAAGAGGTGGTTCAACTTGCCTGAAAATCTCCAATCTCTCGATCAAAAGCCTTGCTGCAGATGTGGTTTATCGTCAAACCCAGGACAAGCCCCCAATTGAGATGCACCATTAATACTAAATAAATTGAAATAATATGATCAAAATCTTATCACCCGACACCGAGTAAATAAATAAATAAGAATAATTATGTTTGCCCGATAAAATAAGCTGTAATTTTGAATATTACGATACGGGTGTGTATTTCGTATGCGATAAGCTAATCGTGGTGAACTGAACTGAAGGAGAGACGACACGTTTTTTCGAAGCTCCAAAAAATTAACGAATTTTAAGTTTAACTGAAAAAAGTAAATATTGCAGAAAAGTAATATAATAATCTAATCTATTTCGCAATATATTGTATACATTAATTTCACTTCTTACTAATAAGTGCATTGTTTCTTTCCAGATTTGTTTGTTTGTTTAGCGGCATATCAACACCTTATGGGTCATTTAATGCCAAAATTTAATTTTCTTGGGAGCATTAGTAATTTTTTTTCCCAAAAATATATTGCTAGAATTTTTCTTTCTTTTTTTTTACAGAAAATGTATTACCGGTAATATTTTTATTTTTTACAAAAATGTATTGCTCATATTTTTACAATAAATATATATTTTTATGCTTTCATAGTGTTTTGATCCATTTTTTGCGGGGGGGGGGGTAAATATTTGTCCATAGCCGATAACCCTAACAGGTGCTATCACTCCGTGCCAGTGTGAACCTAGGAACACCAGCAATTAAGAGGTGGTTCCACGCTCCTCAAAACCTCACGATCAGAAGCCTTGCTACCGGATGTAGTTTATCGTCATACCCAGGACACTTCTTCCAAGTAAATTGACAATAGTGTTTGTCGGTTTCTTTTTTACCAGGGTTGTTGAAGCTACCCCGTTACTCCTCTCTTCGCCCACTGGTTTACCTCTGCGGCGCAGCTCCTACGCCCAAGGACGATGACCGCTTGGCACAGGTAGGTTGCAGAGAGACGTTCCCTTTCACTGGTCGGATCAGGAAACACGACTGAACTTTACACAATTTAACCAGCAGGTCGATGCTGTTGACCGGGATGTAGCCGACGTAGTGCCCATGCGACTTATTGGAGAGTGTGAGAATTGGAGGTAGGCACTGGACCAGTATAGTTCCGCGTCCCAATTCACCTGAGTAACGCCAGGTCGACTGCAAAGGTAGTATCACTGACAATACACCCTATACACTTTCAATAAACTATATAGTTAGAAACATTTGATACCCGCTTGCTGCTGCAAGTGTTACCACTCAAATTCTCTGTGTATCCGATATTAGTGAGTTCTCAGGGTCATGTGGAGAGAATGCGCCTTGACCTCTCAATGCATTTTTACTGCGCACCGTATCCTTCACTGACATGAATCTCCACCACCTGATTCAATTAGTTTATTGCCTATCGACTACTTTTTATTCTTTCAGGGATCTAGCCAAATTTCACCTTCTCGTTTGAGAAGGAGTCAATGGTTCATCTCAGTTTTTTTTTTTTTTTATCAGTTCACCCCAAAACAAGGCGATAATGCCACTAAAACGTAAGGGGTTACTGGGAGTTTAAGATAATGAGAAGAATTTAGCGAGGAGAAAAGAATAAAATAACAGGATTTTGACAATGATGAACACTACAATATTTATCTTGTAATAAACAATACACCGATGATGACATTGTGCTTTGTCGAAAGTACTCGGAAATAAAAGAAATATGTATCAACACGGCGATTTTCTCTGGCCCTTCAATAACGACACCAAAAAGCTTATCCGCGAATATGAAAGGATTCTATTGAACTTGTCCAAATTATTCAACGAAACACGTGTATATATATATATATATATATATATATATATATATATATATATATATATATATATATATATATATATATATAGCGGCTCGGATTGATGAATCGAGAGCTGAGTTCGAATTCCAGTCGAATCCATTACATTCACTTATGTGCTAATACCCTTGGAGAAAGGTATGAATCCTCTTCTTCTCTCTTCAGCTATGGGTAAATAGCTGGACAGATTGGGTTCTATAGCCTTGGATGGTCTAGAATGACAATTCTGAATTCAAAACCTGCGTAGGGTCGTTTGGGGGACCTTGTGGTACATAGTGCACCAGGTTTCTATATTTGGCCCTTCAAAAAGTGTGGTTTGTTCTGTACAAAGCCTTTGCCACTATAATTAAATCATATGTGCTGGTGCCTGGACTGTCGGTTGAGTCCACTATATATATATATATATATGAATGAAAATACAAAAGGAAATTTTTTTGTACTAACCCGTTTCGTTTCTTCAGGAACTTTATCAAAGTAAATGTGGAGATTCTATTTCGTAACTTGTACTTACACAGAAGTAACAGGGGTTAAAAATATTAAGTTTTCAAATATTGAATTTGTGAATGTTCTAAAATATTCTTAAGACTTATTGTGTATGAAAAGGTAAATTATGAAGTCTACTGTCTGATGTAATTTATGGCCTTATAAACGAAAATGAGTCAAAGTTGTTGATTTTTTAAAATTTCTTATTTATATGAGATTAATTATTTCTGTGTATTTTGTCTTACTTGGTTCGTTTATTTTAATTATTTAAAGGTCATGAGTGAACTGTTTTCTTTCAATTTTAATAAAATTCATGGTCATATATGTTGGCTTAAAAAAAGGATCATTTCTTTTAGGGCAAAGATATTTGAAAAATCCAGGTCGTAAGTTAACATTTTGGCAAGAATCAATAATTACACTTCCAAGAATATTTTAGACGAAAAATTCCTCAAGGAACGAAACGCGTTGGCATAAAAAACACACACACACACACACACACACACACACACACACACACACACACACACACACATATATATATATATATATATATATATATATATATATATATATATATATATATATATAAATTAAATAAATAAGAAAGGCACAAGCTTAAGGTTCCATGACTATAATATATTTCCCCAGAAAATATATTTTTTTCTGGTTCTTCAGGTCACATTTCTAGGTACAAAGGAATTTGTTTACTTTTATTTTTATTTTTTATACACACACACACACACACACACACACACACACACACACACACACATAAACACACACACACAGATATTTTTGTATTTAGGCAGCAATCCTTCTTTCATGTACATTTCATTGAAAACAACAGACAAAGTGCTTTTATTTAGCTTTTTATACAATTTCACATGCAATCTAATATTTTTTTTTCTTTCCGGATGATGAATTATATAAAAACTGTCCAAATGTTATTTTTATCCGAGCGCTTTCATCCGAAAAGAAAAAATTATTAGATCGCATGGGAAAGTGTATAAAAAAGTAAACAAAAGCATCTTGTCTGTCGTATTCAATGAAATGTGCATGCATATATATATATGGGGATCTTGAAGTGACAGACTTAAACGTAATCCTAAGATTGCCTGATGATTGAATTAAAGCATGAAACAGCCTGTCGCCAATTTTATATGTACACACGCTCTATCCCTGATTTTGATCACTTTATACCATAAATACAGCACACCTTAAAACTACATTTCTTCATATATATATATATATATATATATATATATATATATACTTAATAGCCTCTAGAATGATTTGCAAAAAAAACTGTTACGTTAATATAATAGACCTTTTACCCATAATGCATCACTGATCACCATATATATAATAGTCGAACCAAAACACAAGCACAACACACATGGCCTGAAGATTACGCTTAAGCATGAAACAGACTGTCACCGTTTGGTATTGTCCTCAATGTCCACTTTCATATTTATATTTACATATGCTCCATTCCTGATATTGAGCAATCTAACCCATAAAAATATATTACACCTTACAACTATATTTTTATCTCAAACATGTGTGTGTGTTTTGGTTGGTTGATATCTGTAAATTAATTCAATAGATTTATCTTACCCTATGAGCGGATGTGTCTGCTAAACTTCAAGTTAGAAGATAAATCATTTGAAGTTTTATTTATCTACTGACTATATATATATATATATATATATATATATATATATATATATATTAGTTAGCCCAGATATATAGGTGATCTTCTGATTTACTGCTAAAGTCTCAATTACTTATTTAAGGACTACTTTCTGATAAGGTAAGGAAATATTTCTTGGCGCTGGTAATCAAAAATAATAAAAAATAAAAATAAAAAAAACCCTCTGAAAGTGTGATGAAGTTAAGAGTTCTGCTGGGGCCCCTGGGGTTAGTAACGATGACATGATTTGAAGCACCAATGCTTCTGAGATTTCAAAATAAAACATTTTTCCCCCCTCACTCACTCTCTCCCCACCGCCTCCTCTCTCTCCCCTCCCCCTCCTCTCTCTCCCCTCCTCTCTCTCACTCCCTCTTCTCCTCTCTCCCCCCTCTCCCCTCTCTCTCCCCTGCTCTCTCCTTCCCCTTCTCTTTACGAGTATGTTGCGGAAAATGTTGAGAAAATAAAACTATAATAGACTCATCCACATGTAAAAAAGACTAAAAATAAGGGAAGCATTGATAATAAAAAAGAAGAAAGTCAACACTCAATAACATCAACTATGAAAACGGTCACAATGTGCTGACCGTGTTTGAAAAAAAAAAGAAAGAAAAATAAACATTTCCATCTTTCTAGATACATACATAAAAATCTAAACATTCAGTTAGAATTAATAATTGAAAAACAACATCCTTAAAGAAGAGCCGAAAGCGCTCGAACAGACAAAACATTCGGACAATTCTTACACATCTGATGTTTAAAAAAAACTTATACGAATACAAGAAAATTTAAAAAAAAAGAAGGCTAGAACGCAGAACATTTGTCTTTAATGAAACTTGTATAAAAGAGGTATTGCCGCCCAAATACACAATTATATATATATATATATATATATATATATATATATATATATATATATGCATGCCTGTGTGTGTGTGTGTGTGTGTGTGTGTGTGTGTGTTTTAGGACATTACATCGAAAACATGTTAAAATCGCTACACAGTTGCAGTAGTGTTTCGATGCGTATCAATGCATCTCATCAGGCGATTGTAAATTACTGGCGAGTGAACGATTTATTTAGATTTAAAAGCAAAATACCACATCTTTTTACGAAAAAAAGTGGTAGTTATAAGGTTCGTGGGCTTTACTCAGATCAACCAATCGAATATGACCCACGTTAAATTTAAACGAAGCAAAGATCAAAAAAATAAATTATTTTTCATAAATGGGTCATGACCTGTCTAACTTTGTGTTATTTTGAATAAAAGTAGAAGCGTTTATTCCGAGCTTTGCATGTTGAGTGCAGCTGGAATTCCAGTGAGTGTCTTTGTAATATTTCTTTTAAAATTTTCAACAGACCATTTCCGTTGTTCAATAAGGTGAGATTTATACTAGGAGTGAGATGTTTTATATACAGCTTCTCACTCACAAGATTCCCGTCTTCATTTCTCACCGTGGCGTGAATTTCATCTTTCGTTTCCCTTGTGAACGAAAAGCGGACCATTCCCTGTTTTTGCGCACACGGACGCAAACTACAATAGAGTTAATTGTTCAGTCGGTGAAAAGCTGGGAGAGGGACACGTTATACGTTTACAAATTTACAGACCGCCAAATTTGGCGAAATCTTGACTGCAGATATGAGGTCATTCTTTAGAATGATTGAACTTCAGACAATATTTTTGACATACCATTCTTAGATATTGTTGCAACACTGCTCCTAGTTGGACAAAAATAGCGGTAAACAAAATTTACGCATGCAAATGCCGGCTGCAAGGAAATGTAAGGCAATTTCAATAAAGCGATATTTTATATGTATTTGTTTTTATATAACTGCTGTAACCTAGGGAAGGTTACTGAATGGAATAATCACACGAAAGTTGGTAATGAACGATAATACTTAGGACAAGAACAACACATATAAGATTCGCCAGCGGTGCGTAGAAGTAGTGTGTCAACTGCTAGAAGTGAGTCAAGTGAATTCCACAATGAATTTCCAACTGCAGGATATCTACCAACCACCCCACGTGGTCAGATATAGCACAAGGCCGAATTTAATGTGGGGTATCCGAGACCATAGTCCCGGCCCCAAATTCCCCGTAGACCCCAGGGGTAGCTGTTTCCCGAGACGAGTCTCTGTCCTTCGACATAGCTTCGTCTGGGGGATCCTCTCTGTCCGGAGGCAGAAGAGTTTGACCAGCACAGATAGAGACGAAGCTCCAACTGCAGACCAACATACAGTATTTACTACTGTATTCATATGAATGGGGACATATCCATTATCGTCCGTAGGTATGCTACAACAATAACTGAACAACAAGGGATAGAAAATACTCTAGTATGCCTGTAAAAAGAAAGAAGACATTGAAAGTTGAGAATTGTGTGGGTGAAAGACGTGTGTGCATGTGTGTGCGTGTGTCACTAAGTAGAAAGATATCTCCATGCTTTAGACAAAGTCTTGGTGTCGTCACTACCGCATGCTAGGAGAAAAGGGGAAGAAGAAAGGAAGTGTCCCGTTTTTTAAAGATCTTTAATAGCGCCACCCAACGACTTTTTGGCAAAACTAACAAAGCTATGTGGGTGTAACACACAATATGGACGAATAGATGTTAAAACTATGAAATAAAAAATTAACCGCCGTCATTGTCATTAGAAGTCATACAAAAATAACCAATTTTGAAGAGATTAAAATGTTAAACATAATTCAAACAATAACACTCCTGTAATATATATATATATATATATATGTGTGTGTGTGTGTAAGGAATCGGTCTGAAGAGTTGAGATCGAACTCTCTATCTTAACGAAATAAATATCACTATCGTCTTTTAAGAGTTTGTTTTCTTTATAATATATATATATATATATATGTGTGTGTGTGTGTGCGCGTGTGTGTGTATGTATATATATATATATATTATTATTATTACTACTATAAAGAAATATATATATTATATTATTATAAAGAAAACGGACTCTTAAAAGATATTCGTTTTAATTTACGATATATATATATATATATATATATATATTTATTATTTATTTAAAATATGATTCCAAATCGCGACATAAGAAGTCCCATGTTTCAAAACAAGAGCCGAAAACTTCAATATAATTATTTAAATCATTTAAATTATTTAAATTAAATTGAGTTAAAATAAGCTCTGTTCCATCTTCAAGCGAAATTTTTTTGGAATAACGTGTTTCTGAAATTTTATTTACCTAACCAGTTCCTTCCTATTTTCTATATATTTTATATATATATATATATATATATATATATATATATCGTAAATTAAAACAAATGTCAAATGTGTATATATATATATATAATATCTCGTAAATTTAACAAATGTCAAATGTATATATATATATATATATATATATATATATATATATATATATATATATATATATATATATCGTACATTAAAACAAATGTCACTGAGTGCTTTATTTGGCAAAGTGTTGGCGTGTAAGGCTCTCAAATAGAATATGGTGCGTTTGCTTTTCGGTTACTTTCGTGGCATTCTAGGGGGGAAAGTACAGACGATACCCCTAATCTTGATATATTTTTCAATCCAAAGGAAAATATTAAATCTTCCAAACATATCAAAGGTAAATAAAATCTGAAATCCTGGTTACAAAGTTTCAAATCTCTTCATATCAAAGGAGCTATGAACATCTGGAGTTGGATGAAAGTATAGTTTGGTAAAATGCTTAAAACTGAGTAAATTCTAAAAGTTTTATCTAATTTCAAAACTATTACAGATACAGACTTAATAGTTGGAATTTTGCCATCGCTTTGTTATTGGAACACATAAGAATTTTTTTCCACGGGAATCTGAGAGGATAACCTGGGAAACTTTCCAAAAATTAGGGAATTTGATATGGAATGATCTTATTTTATTTCTTTCTTTCTTTCTTTCTTGCTAGCTTGCTTGTTTTCTTGCCTTCATAATATGTTTATTTTTCATTTTCATTCTTTCACCATTTTCTTTCTTTTTATTTTTCATTTACTATCCTTCTTTCTTTCTTTCTTTTTCTTTCTTTCTTTCTTTCTTTCTTCTTTCTTTCTTTCTTTCTTTCAACATTATGTTATTTTTTCATTTTTCTTTCTTTCAAAATTTTATTTTTCTTTGTTTGTTTGTTTGTTTCTGAATTTGCTTATTTTCTTCATTTTTCTTTTTCTTTCCAAATGTGCTTATTTTTTCATTTTCTTGTTTTCTTGCTTTCTTTCTTTCAAAATGTACTTATTTTTCTTCATTTTTCTTTCTTTCGAAATTTGCTTATTTTTCTTTCTTTCGAAATTTACATATTTTTCTTCATCTTTGTTTCTTTCTTTCAAAGTTTGCATATTTTTCGTTCTTCATTCATTTTCATTATTTGTTCTTTATTTTTATTTTCTTCTACATTTTTCTTCCATTCTTAGTTTGTTTTCTCTTTCTTTCCTTTCTTCCTCCATTTTTAATTATTTTTTTCTTTCTTTCTTTTTTCTTTCTTTCTTTTTTCTTTCTTTCTTTTTTCTTTCTTTCATAATTTGTTTATTCTTCATCAGTTTTTCTTTCTCCGTTTTCTTCATTCTTGCTCCATTTTTCCTTTTCTTTCTTTTGCTTCATGTATTCTTTCTTTCGTTCATTTTTCCATTTTATTTTTCCCTTTCTCATATTTTATTCTTTGTCAATATTGTTCTTCATTATATTTATTTCTTCTGATTCAATTTCATTCATAATTTCTTTCTTTGTAAATTTTCTTAGCTTCATTCTCCATCTCTCTTTCTCCTTCTCACACTATTTATTTATTTATTTATTTATTTATATATTCGCTGAAGATTTTTTGAATCCAGAAAAGTAAAAAACAACTCTCGAACTGAGAATGGTAAAAATCAAAACGGAACCAGCCCGAGGCTAGTTCAGGAAGATTTTGCACTGGAATAAGATAAAGAAAATACCCTCGTCCACCTCTACCGCGCCTTACCTATTCGTCCCTGTGTTTCCATTCGCGTGGAAACCTGACATGAAAGTATGCCCAAGAGTTTTGGCCCTGATCCAATCTCATTCCTCGCCATTCCTTGCTGCAAAATTACCAAATTCATGTGCACGACAGATGTGCATGTCTGTTACAAGAATGACGTTTTGCTTTTCGAACTCTCCTTTTAGATCTTTGCCTTGACAGCACCTGGTGAGCATCAACACTTGTCAGGAACAGACGTTTCCTGTTTCTGTAAGCTTAAAGCCATTTAGCGACTTTCTTGTGGGTTCAATAAAAGAAAGATGAGAATGTTGGTCTTTCGTATAACCTCAACCACAGAACCTCATTTAGTGTTCATAAACTCACAACAGTTATATATATATATATATATATATATATATATATATATATATATATATATATATATATATATTATAGTAAAAAGAAAGAACATTAAGATATATAATCCGGTGTTTTTATTGATGTTTTTATTTTAGAAAGAATCTTTATGTATACAAGTACGAATTTAACGGGAAAAATGCCGAAAAACATTTTGTCTTTGATTAAAAAAACCAGACGACATGCGTTGAACGGATGTCAGAATTCGTTGAGAAATGCACCCCTAGCCTACCTAGACTTAACCTCTTTTCCGAACGTAACTCATAATTAATACAATAATAGTTCATAAAAATGAACACGCTACCACCCCTGTCTAAATGATTGGATTTCTCTGTATCTTTGGAAAAAATATGAATTGTCCGTGCTTTTAAAACTCAGTAAATTTCAAAATAAGTTATTCCAAAATTCACTTGAAAATGAAACAGAACTAATGCTTTTAATTTAATTATATAATTAAATTTGAAGTTTTTAGCTTCGGTTTTAGAAACATGGTAATTCCTGTGTAGCGAAGGAACCATATTTTTAAATCTTAAAAAAAAAATATATATATATATATCGTGTGCTGAAAACTATGTTGGATTAAGTAAATAACATTTTATGATCATGAATGCAAATAAATAATTTTAATAATTTACTTCATTTTAAAGTAGATTATAATAGTTTTTGAAACTGAGTGGTTTTATGGTTCATTGATTCCTATATAATGGTCATTTACTACAAAGAACGACTTTTCAGCAGAATATCAGGGCTTAATCCCATGATTAATGTTTGGATTTTGAATGTGGTTTTATGGTTCATTGACTCCTCTATAATGGTCATTTAGTACCAAATAACGACTTTTAAGCAGAACATTGACTACTCTTTTGCGCTTCATTTTCATTCTAGTGTTTACTCCTATATCATCGTTTTAGTTTGTATACAGGAATGCCATTCTGAATCTTATATATTTTAACATATAATGTTAATATTATATATATATATATATATATATATATATATATATATATATATATATATATATATAATATTTTGTGTATTTAGGCAGCAGATTCTCTTTTAGGCATGTCTGATTAAATAAATTACAAACATTACGTCTGCTTATTTTTAGCATAATCCGTTAATATTCACGGATATTTTTTCCGTGTATTACAATAAAAATGGTGCAAGAAATGCACTGAAAAAAATACCCGTGAATATGAACTGATTATGCTAAAAATAAGCAGACATAATGTTTTTTATTTATTTAATATTAATCATAAATACTATAATCTCATATTTACAATTAATAAATCCATTAATTCTTTAGAAATTGCTTTATTTACGTCTCGGATACTAAACAGGGTAGATATGGGCTTTCAAGGATAAGTGAACGAACCGGTGTGCATTCTTTAAAAGGGAAAATAGAAACCTGCTGGATTATGGATGCTCTTCTTGGCTGAACGTCCTAAAGCGCACTGGATCAAATGAGGGTTTCTTCTATAAAGGAGGATTATGGTTCAATCCATGTTGAATACACATTTTCCTTATTAAGTCTTCTCAAGAGAGTAACATCTGCTGTTTAAAAATAGAAAAAGGGCGTTTACTTTCTGAAGGTCTTCAAAACGATGGCCCTGAAGTGCTCCTTCAGCTTGGGAAACAACCAAAAGTTGCAGGTAGCAAGGTCTTACCTGCCGTAAGAGTGAGGAACAGTTTTGATATACACCTCTGTTAACTTTATTGCACAGCGAGCTTCCAAAATGTCTTAAGGTCCTGACTGCATTCTGCTAGTTAGCCGTGGTTAGTAGGGTGTGTACAAAGAACTGTTACTGCGGACCCCTTCAATCTGAAATAAGTTGGCAGGTCAACCTATTAGATGTATAGTAATGATAGCCTAAAATGACAATAATCTAGGGCAGTTAGAACTGCCTCTAAAATGTTTCAAATCTTCTAAAATGCACCTCGTATATTTTTTGTCTTTTTTAATCAATTCACCCCAAACAAAGCCATAATGCCTCTAAGACTCAAAGGAGCAACTGGAAGTGAAAGAGAACTGCTAAGTATAACGGAAGGTTGCTATGGAAGAAAGATTTATTCTCCCATTTGTATTTCCCCCGTTATGGGCATTATCATATTCGTAATATAATAACATCGTATTTCACGGACGGAACGGAATAGTTGAAAGGAAAAGGAATGACAAACATCTCTTCTTCTCAGACGTTCGTATTACTAAGACATACACGAAACAAATACATATATTCACGTGTCCCACGCAGAGAATAATATATCACATATATCTGCACAGCAAAGGAGAGTAAGGAGAAACAAAAAGGAAGGATCTTACATATAATATAGAGATACTCCTGTACCTGGAGAATCCATTTTAAGACTCCAGATTGAGGACACGAACGGGAAACA